AGAGCCTTCAGTTTTCAGGCCCCTCTTCTGTGGAACCAGCTTCCAGTTTGGATTCAGGAGACAGACACTATCTCTACTTTCAAGATTAGGCTTCAAACTTTCCTTTTTGCTAAAGCATATAGTTAGGGCTGGACCAGGTGCCCCTGAATCCTCCCTTAGTTATGCTGCAATAGACGTAGGCTGTTAAAGGTCAGTTCTTCCTTCCCACTGTCACCACGTGCTCTGCGTGCTCAGGTTTCTTTGTATTATTGTAGGGTCTACTTCAGGTAACTGTGGCTGTGATTCACGCCACATAAATAAAGCTGAATTGAAGCGGACATTGGAGGTGAAACGAGCTGAAGAACAGGAGCGCCGTGGAGTCAGCTGACGGTCTCCTGCATGTTGTGTTTCAGCCTGAATCAAACGTGTGAACTGTTTTCCTCGGGCTCCGGACACTTCCTGCTCTACGTGACCTTCTGTACTAAACTCTGTGATCACGTTTACAGATACATTTTTTTCTCGTCCCGCGTGAGGACACAGCTCAGTCTACAGCCTTTAAGACCGTTAGCTCTGATTGATCCCACACAGACCTGATCTAACGAGCCCGCCTCGCCTCCTCCTGCAGCTCTGGACTGATCGGCAGACGCCGTGTTGGCCGAGACCAGAGCGCCTGAGAGCTGCACCTGCACACACACCTGAGACCACCAGGGACCCTGCAGCAGTGAGGCTGTGGGTCCCTGCAACAGGAGGAGGTGCAGAGCTGCAGCAGGAGGTGCCCTCGTGGGGAGGCGGGTCGATAAACCACTGTGCAGTGTTCTGCTTACTGTAGTCGAGCGGCCCGACGGGGTCCGACCGCCCCCTGGTCATATGACACTCCTCCTCCTCGCTGCAGGAGGCGCGGCGGCCCGTCCTCCTCTGCAGCAGCTCCCGCCTCCTCCTGCCGGACAGAGGAAGCAGCTGCACGTGCAGCACACCGCAGGGCTCTGACCGCCGCCTCAGCTTCGTCCCGTCTGCCTGGCCTGCCGCTCGGTCCTCCGCCATTAACCATGACGTGGACTTCCTCCTCTCTCTCCCTCTGCCCGGCTCCGCCCTCCTCCTGTCTCTCCTGACCTCCTCCTCCTCCACGCTGGGCTCATACGTCCTGCGCTCTCTCCGTGCGCCGCTCTTCTTCTTCTCCTCTGTTTGGTCCTCCTCCGTCGCTCCACACGGTTCAGACTTCCTCCTCATCATCCGTCCGTACGTCAGTCTGTCCCTGTTCTCTTTCTTCGTCTCCTCCCCCTCGTCTTCCTCCTCCTCGTTTCCTCCTGCGTACGGCTCGCTCCTCCTCCTCCCTGTCCATCGCTCCTTCTCCTTCCACTTCCTCAGCACCAGGCTGCTCAGACGCCTCATCGCCATCAAAAACACTCAAAGCTAAATCAAATGTCTCCTTCAAAGCGGCGACGGTTATAAACAGTTAATAACCAAATGAGTAAAACACTGTAAGTAAAGTCTGGATTTCATTCACTATCTTAAAAATACAAATTCATCTTTGCTCCTCGAGTGGAAACAGGAAACAGTCAAACAGCATAAACCACATCAAACCTGCAGAGTGTGTTTCACTAGAACTGCACAAACTGAGCTCAGGTCAAAACTCAGGAGCTGTCAGCCAATCCTGAGGCTCTGAAGACAATAGCTGCGTTCTGATTGGCTGCTGCAGGGTCCGTCAGTTTTAAGTTTTCAGTGTTTTTCTTACAGAGTTCAGTTTAAAGCCTGAAGGACGGCAGAGGAGGAGAAAGTGCTTTCGTCAAAGTCCAGGCAGGAAGTTCAAGTCCGCAAAAAGTCCCGACGTCCTGTTGAGTCACACAGAGACGGGGAGATGGACAGGTGAACGGACGTGTTCGTCCTGCAGAGTCCTCAGACTGTTTGAGCCCCGCAGAGTATCAGAGCTCGCTCTGTGTGTGGGGTAGCCACGCCTCCCTCTGCTGCCTGCACTGAAAAACACTGTGGAGCTAAAGTCAGACTGAGCCTCTCTGAGGGAGGAGGAGCAGGAGGGGAGGAGGAGGAAGGGGGTGGAGTCTCGCTCTGTGCTCTGACTGAAGCTAACGCGCTGTGAGGTCACAAACATGCATCAAAGTCTGTGATAAACTGGGTCATCACTGTGAGCGTCACTGCCACAGAAGGACCGTTTGACATACGGGGACGTGAGCGGCGGCTGAGGTCGCTGCACTCGGACGCCTCCACACTCACAGATTTCACCTGTGGGATCATCAGTGTGATGATGTCATGATGATGTCATCCCATCATGGACCGAAGCCTCTGAGGAACGCTTCCGGCAGCTTCCGCCACGCTACAAACAGGTGTACCTAATAAAGTGTCTTGTTTCTTACTGACGCTCATCAGGAAAGACAAACCTGAGATCTGATTGGTGAGGAGATAACGACATGACATGAGCGAGCGGCAGTGAGACCGTAACGAGCGTTCGTGGTGTGTATCTGACTCCCTGGTGATGTCACAGGTCTGAGGCTTCGAACACAGCTGTGAAGCTGCTGCGGTGTGAAATCAGGCCATGATGATGTAACGTGTGTTATTTCCACAGTAAGTCCTCAGAGCGCTCCGACGTCGGTGACGTCCACGCTTCCTGCAGTGTGGGAAAAAGGCCGTGAGTTCATGCTGCAGGTGGTCACAGCGTGAGACGGGAACAAAGGAGCTCTCTGCTCCGCCCAGCCCGAGGCGCCGCACTGCGGTTCTGAAGGATCACAGTTACAGGATCATGAGGCGGATACAGCGGCAGCTTTCTAATATCAGGTCACTGTTTACTTACACAGCAGCGGGGCGCCGGCACCAGCACGGATCAACTGTCACAGCCTCGCTGGGTCATTCTGAACCGCAGACTCTGAGAGGCTCAGGCTCCGCCCCCAGCAGGACCTCCCACAGCTGGGCTCGCAGAGATACCAGCCCTGCTCCGGGCAGAGCTCAGCGTGACCCCAGAAGTCACAGACACTGGAAGCTAGCGACAGAAAGTGGGCGGGTCCTGAGGTAATGTTTTCTGAATTCTGAGGCCAATGAGAGTACTGGTAAATACGAGCGTTACTGAGGCAACGCTCCGTGTGTGGACGCTGTGTGTCATGCCAGCGTGATGAAGACATCAGCTTCAGCTAGCAGGCTAACCATCCCCATGTTGGCTGTTACCATAGAAACTAAAGGTCAGTCATTCAACTTTAACCCACCAACAGCGTAGACAGACACGCTCAGACCTCCCTATGCTCCACCCACCCCCTTCATCTCCTAGGACACCCGGGTCTCCTCCTGTAACAAGCATCCATCCAGTTGTTCACCGAGAGGAAGTCTGCAGGAAAAAGACCTCTGAACTACCAAAATAAAAGCTTTTTTAAAGCTAAGCCAAGAAAGAAGCCTGTCAATCACAGAGTAACCCCGCCCAGAATCATCGCATGATTGTTTTCCTTCTATTGAGAACAAAGTTAAACTTCATTCAATCAGAGCGAGACCACCAGCTCTGACATCACTGACCAATCAGAGTCACCCCCTGCTGGACGTTGGAGAGGCTGCAGGTTTGAGGCTTATGAGCCCTGCAGTGGGGACTAAGTGTGAGTGCACCCTCACATTATGGGCTTTTTTGCAGAATGTTTTAGAGGATTGTAGGGTTACGTCACAGTTCCAGGCTAGAGTCCACCGCAGTCCTCTGCAGCACGAGCACGTGTGAGAGTGAGCCCAAGCTGCCAAACGCTCCGACTGAAGAGACGCCAAGCCCTGCTCCGGAAATTCACCCGGGAGGGGCGGCGAGGGGCAGAGGGAGTGTGTGTGTGAGGGCCTGTGTTAATAACAGCAGCTGCTAAGCTGATATATTCCCTCTAATAGAGTCTGAATTGACTTTTAATATCCGGAGCATTGATTGCATTCAGGCTGCTCACACTCACAGCAGCCGGCGGAAGTGATCCAGCGATAAACGCGAAGTCTGAGGTCTGAGTCTGAAGTCTGAGGTCTGACTCTAAAGTCTGAGTCTGTAGTCTAAGGAGCTTGGAAAGAAAAGCGTTTGGACTTCTTTAAGTGGCTTGAAGACGTTTCACCTCTCATCCGAGAAGCTTCTTCAGTTCTGAAGCTCCTTAGACTACAATGACCTGGATGACTGGGAACCTTCACAGACATCTGAAGTCTGAGTCTGAGGTCTGAGGTCTGAGGTCTGAGTCTGAAGTCTGAGGGCCAAGTCTGAGGTCTGAGTCTGAAGTCTGAGGGCCAAGTCTGAGGTCTGAGTCTGAAGTCTGAGGTCTGAGGTCTGAGGTCTGAGTCTTACTCTGAGGTCTGAGTCTGAGTCTGACTCTGACTCTGAGGTCCGAGGTCTGAGTCTGAAGTCCGAGTCTGAGGTCTGAGTCTGAGGTATGAAGTCTGAGGTCTGAGTCTGAGGTCTGAGTCTGAAGTCTGAAGTCTGAAGTCTGAGTCTGAGTCTGAGGTCTGAGTCTGAAGTCTAAAGTCTGAAGTCTGAGGTCTGAGTCTGAGGTCTGAGTCTGAAGTCTGAGTCTGACTCTGACTCTGAGGTCTGACTCTGAGGTCTGAGTCTGAGGTCCGAGTCTGAAGTCTGAAGTCTGAGGTCCGAGTCTGAAGTCTGAAGTCTGAAGTCTGAAGTCTGAGGTCCGAGTCTGAGGTCTGAGTCTGAAGTCTGAGGTCTGAGGTCCGAGTCTGACTCAGAGACAGCTTCAGCTCCTGTCTGTGACTCCAGGCGATGGATACATGGAGATAATGAAGTCTCTGGCCCCAGTGTCCACCTTTAGCTTTACTCTGTGCTGATTTCTATGTTAGCGTTCCTCTTAGCTCACCTGATCACTGAAACACTTGAGTCAGGAGAAGATTGACAGTTTGAAAGCACCGAGTGAGGAAGAGGAGGAGGTCCTGATCTGCTGAGTCATTTACCTGAAACTTTAAAATCTCAGGTGTGTTCTTACAGCCTACCTTTGAACATTATTACATCTGGGCGGAGAATCGGCTTTGCTGTTTGTTCTCCTGGCTCAATTACACGACCACTAGATGGTGCGAAAGGTGCACAGAGACAGGACACACTCCAGGTTCTGTGTGTGTGTGGAGGTGAATGCATGCGTTTCCACAAACACTAAAACACTCCTGCGTCAGGCTCTACTGTTACACTATACAATAACACACTCACACACTGTACTTCTGGCCTTGTCTCTCTTGTTGCGGCTGAACAGTTTGATGCTGACGGGGGAGGATGAGGGTTGATGGTTTGAATCCCTGGAGGCAGACCTGAAGATCCCACTGAAACTCAGCCTGACACACACACACACACACAGTGCAGTGTGAGTCTCTTTAAAGATAAATCTCCGAGTGTCACTTTTCATGTTTGTGTGTGTGTTCAGGTGTGTTTATTTACCTGCGTGGGGATCTGGGCGGTGAGTCCAGCAGCGGGGGTCCGGGCTGGTAGGGGAAGATGGTTTTAGGAGAGCTGGGGCTGGTCTTGGAGCTGGAGGTCCTGGCGGGGGCGGAGCGTGGGCTGGAGGGTCGGCTGAAGGGAGACCGATGGAAGAAGCTCCTGGTGGGGCTGGCAGAGTGGCACACGGGCTCCCCCTGCTGGATGGGAGGAAGCCATGATGGTAAACCTTCCTAACTGGATCTGTTCTGCTGTGGAACAGCTGGAGAACAGCTGGAGAACAGCTGTGTGACGTCAGCACACAGCTGGACATGCTGCTCCTCAGGGTTCCCTGCTAGGACCAGTTCTGTTTACATCATACATTCAGGTCCATTTATATTTGGACACGGACACAAGTTTGGTTTTTTACCCGTTCACTGAAACATATTCCAGCTGTAGTTATGTAATGGACACAACGTGACAACGTGCAGACTCAGCGTGCAGTCGAGGTGGCCACATTCAGACTGGATGAGGGTTTAGGAGTGTCAGCGCTTTAACAAGTGCCAGCCTCTTTTTAAAGGGACCAAAGTGTTAGTCCAATAATCACGTGACTGATTGAGCGATCGCCTTCCTTTACACAACAACTCAAAGCTTCCACTGTGCCTTTCCCACCTGTGCGTAGCCATGCCTCCCCCCAGGACACTTGTGCAGCAGGTTATATACATCCTACACACAGTCATTGGACCATTGACTCCAAGACTATTCACGAGCATCTTTATGTCTTTAAGCAGATTAAAGGTCCGCAGTGGATCTGAGGTGTGGCGCTGGTGTTTGGAAGGTTTGGCTGTGACAACATGAGGTCAAAGGTCTCCATGCAGGTGAAACAATCCATCCTGGCTACAATATTAGGAGTGACAAAATCTACAGTTTGGTGCTGAGAGGAAAGAAAGCACTGCACTGACTCAGGCCCGGGCTCAGGACGCTGCACACGAATGTGATTCCCTCTACTCTGAAATCAAATCGGGGTCAGGTTAAATTAAACATGGCGTTACCTTACTGCCGCCGTCCCTCTCGGCTCGGCCCGGGTCTCCGTCCAGGAAGGGCATGGTGAAGACGCTCAGGTCCTGCAGCAACACAGAGACGATAACGCTGAACTGCTGAACTGCAGAACTGCAGAGCGAAGCGGAAACTCAGACGCCTGGCATGCCGAGGACCAGCCTCCTCTCCTGTTGCATCATGGGACAGTTTGGGAGGTAAACATGAGGGCGACGAGGGAGCAGGCTGAAATTATCAGCAAACATCTGCTGAGCCGGTTGAAGCATAAACTCTGGTTTCAGCTGGTCTGAGAGTCTGAGATCAAACTCCGCCTCCATCTGCGTCTCCCAACTTTAAACTCGTCCTGCAGGTTACAGCGTCATCGAATCCACGAGCAGGAAGTCATAGAGGGCGACACACCGCGAGCAGCAACACCCGCACAGGCGGATGCGGCTTCACCTTCCTCTGAGCAAAACTGTTCACCACTACACTCTTCCCGAGGGGGCTCAGAGGTCAGAGGTCACCACGAGGAGGGCATCCTGCAAGGCGGCGATCAGGGTTCACTCGCCCCTCTTCCTCCAGCACACTGCCTTTCTCACCAGCCTGTCTCACTGGTTGCCATTGGAAACGGATGGCTGGGATGTAGACCAACTGTGTCATCCACACACACACACACAGTCGTGTTTTCATATCTTTGTGGGGACATCTAATAGACATAATGCTTCCCCTAGCGTGTGTGTGTGTGTGTGTGTGTTTAGTGATTCCAGAGGTGGACGAGAGTCGAGTTGACCTGTGACCCTCAGTGAACTCCAGGTCAATCTGTTCTCTGGGGATCAGGCTAATTGTTGGACAACAGATTAAATCAGCCAGTGTTTGGCTGCCCCGGGGTGGTGACGGAGGCGGTCTGTGATGCAGTTCGGAGTCAGCCACGGACGTTAGTGTGGACCATGAGACCAGAGGAGACGAGCAGGAACACTCCTCAAACACTCCCATCCACCGGGCCTCACCCGCCTCTCACCCGCCCACCACCACCATCACTCAGTGTGGCTTCATCTCAAACCTGCAGGGACTCAAGCCTGTCCTCAGCGTGTTCACATGAAGTCCTGCATGGACGAGCGTCCTCCAACCAGAA